AACTGAAAAGCTTCTATAAGGCAAAGGACACGATCATTTGGACAAAGCAGCAGCCTACAGAATGGGAAAATATTTTCATCAACTCTACATCTGATAGAGGACTAATACTCAAAATATATAAAGACCTCAAGAAACTAAATATCAAAAATCCAAATAGTCCAATTAAAATGGGGTGCAGATCTAAACAGAGAATTTTCAGTATAGAAAACTCAAATGTCTGAGAATGACTTAAAGAATTGTTCAACATCCTTAGTCATCAGGGAAATGCAAATCAAAAGTAATTTGAAATTCCATCTTATACCTATCAGAATGGCTAAGATCAATAACACAAGTCAGCTCTTGCTGGCAAGGATGTGGAATAAGGGTAACATTCCTCCATTGTTGGTGGGAGTGCAAACTTATACAGCCACTATGGAAATCAATATGACTGTTCCTCGTGAAGATGGGAACTGGTCTACCTCAAGATCCAGCTATACCATTCTTGGGCATATACTCAAAGTTCATGTCTTCCTATCACAAGAACACTTGCTCAAAACCATGTTCATTGCTACTCTATTCATAATAGCCATAAATTGGGTGCAAACTAGATGTCCCTCAACTTAAGAATGGACAAAGAAAATGTGGTACATTTATACAATGGAATATTAGTCATCTGTTAAAAGTGACAAATTTAATGACATCATTAAATTTGCAAGCAAATGGATGGAACTAGAAAAAATCAGCCTGAGTGAGGTAACCCAGACCCAGGAAGATAAATATGGTATGTATTTGTTTATATGTGGATATTAGTCATTAAAAATGATACCCAAGTTACAATCCAAAGACCCAGAGAAGTTAGGTATAGAGGAAAGGCCTGGGGAGACACATAGATTCCCCTGGAAGGGGGAAATGGAATAAATTTTATGGATGGAATGGGGGATAGGGGATGGGAACAGGAGGATCAGGTAAGGAGGTGTAGGGGAAATAGGGTTGAGAAAGAGAATGTGGGGAGAATCTGATAGAATTGAGGTACATTTAAGGAGTGGTATAAAAAGCTAAATGAAGACAATCCTAATGAAGTGTAGCATGAATCTTAAAGAGTCTTATTAATAAAATCAAACCTGAGGCTAGTTATTGGGGTGAATGCTGGAAGATCAGAAAAGCAGAACAAGCCACAGCCACCTCATCTCGCCATTTTTTCAGCTGATCCTGTTTCCTCAGACTGGAAGCCTCTGAGTCCTCATCCAAATGGATCTCAGCTGAACTGTGCTGCTCCAAGGCCTAAAAGCTTAACCAGCTAAAAGCTTCTAGTTTCTGGTCTTCATGCCTTATATACCTTTCTGCTTTCTGCCCTCACTTCCTGGGATTAAAGGCTCACTTTCTGGGATTAAAGGCGTGTGTCACCATGCCTGGCTGTTTCCAGTGTAGCCTTGAACTCAGAGGTCCAGATGGATTTTTGCCTCTGGAATGCTAGGATTAAAGGCGTGAATACCACCATTTTCTAGCCTCTGTATCTAGTGGCTGTTCTGTTCTCTGACCCCAGATAAGTTTATTAGGGTGCACAATATTTTGTGGAACACAATACCACCACAATGAAGTCTCCAAATAATTAGTAAGATGGAGTCCCAATTGGCCATCTCTTGTCTTCAAATGAAGATTCCAGTACCTGGTCTGGGTTACAACCAATTGAGTTGTTGGCCAAAAAGGTTAAATGGAAATCCACAAACAACCCAGGATGTTGCCAAGAGCAGGTCTTTATCAGGTCCTTTGCATATGCATTATAGCTTTAGTTTAGCATTTTTAATGGGACTCCTGAGTGTGTGAATGAGTGGATCTCTGGTTCATTTTTTTTTTTTTTTTCTGAGACAGGGTCTCTGTGTATGTAGCTTTAGCACCTTTCCTGGAACTCACTCTGTAGCCCAGGCTGGTCTCGAACTCACAGAGATCTGCCTACCTCTGCCTCCCACATGCTGGGATTAAAGGTGTGTGCCACCACCACCTGGCAAGGGTCTCTGATCCTTGTGTGTGAGCTCGGGGCTCTTTTCCTTTTTGGGGGTTGCCTTGTCCAACTTCAATGTGATGGTTTTTGTTTTAGCTTATTATATTATATTTTGTTTTATTTTGTTGTTACTTCTTAGAAGTAGTGATGAACTGGGAGAATTAGAGGGAGGGGAAACTGTAATTAAGATATATTGTACAAGAAAAGAATTGATTAAAAAAAGAAAGAAAAAACCAACAACATTAACATAATGTAGTTATATATTTCGGTGAAAAAATCTATCTTTAATGAATGTTGGAAAACAAATAGGGTATATAAAATTAGATATTAACCACAATTTTTAAAAGGTTATTATAAAATCTTTGTAAAGGGATGGACACATGGGTCAGAGGCACAGAACTTTTGTAGCATGCACAAAGCCCTGGACTTAACACTGGGATGGTAAGAAAATGCAAATCCTCACAAATGTTCAACAACACAATTTCTTCTGTCCCATAGAGTCAGAGCTGCTTTCCTGGTTAGGAGTACTGCTGGTGATAAAGGCAGAGTCTTGTGGCCTCGTAGTTTCATTCTTGAGTGAGAAGAGTTCATCTCAGGTCAGCAGGAAGGCATAAATGATGGGTACCATGACCACCAGCCAAGTGGTCCTAAGTACTCCAGAGGATTTGGCTGAAAGAAGAAAAACCTACTTAGACCTTGATCACTGTGTTGAGAAGGGAGAGGAAGACCGGGCATAGGGGTTCCTCCCTGAACCTAATCCCAGCTGCCTAGGGCAATCTTCTCCTTGCAAAAACTCAACCTCTTTAGATGTAAAGACTTTGGAAATTCCTTAAATATCATTGGCTTGGCTGAATCCTGTAGTGGACATTTACCTTGACTTACCTGTAGGACTAGGAAAGAACCAATCCCATACACAGCAGGGCAACAAGATAAGGCCATGCCAGGTATAGACAGACGGTCTTGAAAATGTGTACTGCTGACTGTAGGGACAGAGGGACCACATCTCCTTGTTTCCCTACCTCAATAATCATTTGTACTAAGGAGGAGGAAGGTGGGGGGAGGGGACAGGAAAGAAAGGAAGACAGATCTCAATGAATGGAAGAGAAGTGTGAGCATAGGAAAGGGAATGAATGACAACAGTGAGTAATTGGAACACTTTCTAGGAAATTTCAACTGGTAAAAGAATGTCAAGATTGGTTTAGCCTTTCTCAAAGGGGGGAGGTGGTTTTATTTTCTCTGTGGTCACTCCCACTTTTAAAGGGACAGGATCACAGCTCTTGCTTTTTGCAGGTCTCAGAATGTTGTATTGATAGGAAAATGGCCAGCCTGATTGTGCTCTCATAACCCCACGTCTATTACGTTGGCTCTGTAGCGAGAGCACGTTACGAGAGGATGAAGAGACATGACCAGTCAGCTGAGGTGAGAACAAGAACATCTAGGCCTATGTGCAGAAGCAGAGGCAAAGGAGCTAAGACCAAGCCCTGAAAAACCCAGAACAGCAGTGTCTCCAGGACCCAGGGTCTCTGGTGAGAGGATACGATGGAAGTTGCTATGGCCAGAATCTGGGCCCTGGTAACCCTAAGAACCTAGGCTCAGCCACTCATCTTTAACAATCCAATTCAAGAGACAAAACAACAGTAAAAACATAAAGGGGGTGTATTAAAACTACATTGGGAAGAGGGAGAAATAGGTCCAATAACATTCCCCACTACAATGTCCACATTCAGGTTTTAACATGAAGTTCAGGTTTGAATAGAAGGCAAGAGGTGTGCATACATTTGCTGTCTTAGTCAAAGTTGGTTCCATATGTCATTGTCCTGGTTTTAATCTCTCCTACAAGGTGTTCTGACAATTTGTCATAACTGTGTGAAATCTCTTCCCTGGAGACAAATCCTTCCTCTGGCTGGTGCCTGGCTTTATAGCCCCCGTTTGTTTTATTATCAGATCCTGGAGAAATTCTAATTTTTTTTTGGGGGGGGGTCTGTTTTAGTCAGTGTTCTATTTCAGTGAAGAGACATCATGTCAATGGCAACTCTTATAAAGGAAAACATTTTAACTGGGACTTGCTTACAGTTTCAGAGGTTTGGTCCATTATCAGCCCAGCAGGAAGCCTGGTGGCATGAAGGCAGACATGGTGCTGGAGAAGGAGCTAAGAGGTCTATATCTGTCTCAGAAAAAGATCGTGGGCCTGGCTTGAGCATTTGAAACCCCAAAGCCCACTCCCAGTGACATGCTTCCTCCAATAAGGCTATACCTACTACAACAAGGCCACACCTCCTAATCCCTGTCAAGGAGTCCCACTCCCTAATGAGCAACCTTTCAAATATATGAGCCTGTGGGTACCATTCCAGTTCAAGCCACTACAGTGTCCATTGCTTTAATGGTCTAATCCAAATGGAAGGTAACATTATCTCTTTATTAGAATACCTTTATTCCTGCTAAGATGATTACGTTTCTACATTTCCCTACACTTTGTTTTTATACCTCAGTCTTTTTTTAGTTGAGAAAGTATTTTTTTTCATACAATATATTCTGATCGTAGTTTTCTCTCTTTCCTCTCCTCCAGATCTTCCTCACCTCCTCACTCATCCAACCCCACACTTTCATTTTCTGTCTCTTTAGCAAACAAACAAACAAACAAACAAACAAACAAACAAACCAGAATAAAACAAACAGAAAAAAAGACAAAGAAAAAGATGAGAAACACATACACATGCAGACACATAACATCAGAAACCATAATATATAAAGGTAAAAAAATGCCCAAACAAACCATTATGAGATGAGTAAAAACTATTGCCCCAAATACCATTGAATTCATTTTGTGTTGGCCATCTACTGCTGGGCATGGGCCTGCTGTCTAGTGTGGTTTGTATATTCAGTAAGGCATCGGGGGCTCATGTCCACTTCTCTCTCTCAGTGCTGGGACCTCGTCTGGCTTGGACCTGTGCAGGCCCTGTACATGCTGCCATGGTCTCTATGAGTTCATTTTGTACATCCATCCTGTTCTGTCTGGAAGGCACTGTTTCCTTGGTGTCTTCCATCCCCACTGGTTCTTATAATCTTTCTGCCTCCTCTTCTGAATAGCTCCCTGAGACCTGGTACACCTCAGTCTTGAGGTAAAATATACTTACATCTGAAATAAATATCTCAAATAGAATCCAGGTAGGGGCTGCTGTCAGAAGACAGTGTCCCCTAATTGTGCATAGTAATTTCTCCATAACCCCTTGGCTTTAGTTGCTTTGGGAAGGATTAGTTCAAGTGACTCCATTTTTATTGTTGGCATCGATACAGGGTCTCACCATGAAGAATACACTGGTACCAAACAAATTTTATCCTCCTGCTTCAGTCTCCCCAGTGCTGGGATTAGACGAGCCAACATGCTCCACTTTCAACAGCTAGTATTGAAATTACCTGTTCCCAAATGGAGAGTGTCGGGAACATGCCATGGGTCACAGAAAAGCATTGTAACCACAGGTATGAGATGGTCTGAAGAAAAATGTGCATTATCAGGGCAGAAGGACGGCACTTTTAAATATGGAGAATGGGATGGCTAGAGAATTCTGGAGACTGTAAACAAATTCATTACGGGGTTCCCCCAAGTCCAGTTGTCTCCAGAGTTAGAGGAACCAAACCTAACTTAGATGTCACTAATTTACCATTAATTCATTACTGTTTACCATTTGTGACTATTTTGCCAGGATCAACATTAGATAGGTTACATGTATCATTTATTTATTCCTTGTAGCGTTGTAACTATTTTTGATTTACATTTAAGAGAAACTTAGCTGGGAGAAACTAAGCCACCCAGCTAGTTACTAAGTGACTATGATAGCTAAACTCCGTGGTCAGCTTGGTGAGGTGCGGACTCACCAGGAGATGCACATATGTGAGTGTCTGTTAAGGATGTTTCTGGAGATATTCAACTGAGGAGGAAAGATCTGCACTGAATGGGGACAGCAGCATCCCATAAGCTGGGGAATGGAAGATGGGAAAGGAAGAAGGCCACCGAGTACCAGCACTCATCTCTCTGCCCTGACTGTGGACACAACACGAACCGCTATCTTACATGTCTGTCGCCACGCCTTCCCTGTCATGATGGGCTGAATTCTTACCCTTCCTCCCTTAAGTTGTTTTCGTATGGTATTTTATTATACCAACGATAAAAATAACTAATACAGAGACTATCTCAGGAGTGGCTTGAGGTGTGACTAACTCTAAAACCTAGGACTTCTGTGGCACCTGGTAGGTCTGAATTAAAGGGGCGTGACTCTATGTGAATGGACGTTTCTAGGCAACCCAGAGAAATCTGAAATCTGAAGCCTAGACTTTGCCTTCCTACCTTTACCAAGGAGCATAATACTGGTGCAGTCTCTTCCTTGCTTCTACTCACCAGCCTCTCTCTCACTCATCTACTTTTCCTTATTTCTTTGCCCGGACTACTCTCCCACTTTCCTACTTTCCATAATTGTTCTGATGTCTCAGGCTGTCCTACAATCACCCAGGACTCAGCTTTTAGGAAAGACAAGATGAGCTGGGTGGTACATGACTGTAGAGCCAGGTAGAAGCCAGGTCTCTGAAATTCCAATGGCACCTTTGAGACTCTCCACCACATTCTCTGTCAGAAGGCAGAGTAGGAACCCCATATCTTTCTTCATTCGAAGGAAATCAGTCATCATGTGTCCACTTCAGCTCCCTGAAAGGTAATTCTTACCTTTACAAAACGAAGTGAAGTATTTTGTGTCGTTTTTGCTGTTTACAGGGTTGCTGACTTGGCAGGTGTATGATGCAGACCAGTTCTGGGGAGTGATGATGAGGTCAAGCACATACCCTTGACCCTCTTTGGGGAGGGGCCTCGTGTTGTCATACCAAGTGTAGGTAACATTCTGTCCCTCTGCATTACATGATAGCTTCAAATGACAAGACTCAGCCGAATCTTCAGTCCTCTCAAAACTTATGGACGGCTTGGACACAGGATCTGAAAAACAGTTTGTTATGAGACAATCAGCCTATGCATTTTGGGGGCATTCGCGATGTAAGGATTTGGTCAACAAACGACAAAGGCAAACTGGGAGGAGCCATGATTGCCATTCAAGGTGGTTATGACCAAGAGACTCCTACAGATAGAGCCAGGGAGCAACTTTGTCTTCAAGAGGCTACCTTTTGGTGGTGATGCTAAGGTAGATCCAGAAGAGGGAGCCAGAGTTCATTACATGCCATTAGGAATAAAGTGGCCGTGATGGTCATCTGTGAGCCAAGTGCCAAAGGGGAGATCAGCTGGCTTCTGACTGTTTCCTAACTATCTGAGATACTCAGGGCCTGTTATCTAACAAAAGCCCACAACCAGCACCAGTGGGGGCCACTCTGAACCTGGAGTTCAGATTCAGGGAGAATCCTGAAGGGCCTCAACCTGCACACAGCAAAGCCCTTCACAGTCATTACAGGAGGCTTAGATCTATAAACAAACCTGCCATCTTTGTCCCAGTTGTGAATCAGAAGCTCATAAAGAAAAATGGATTTGTTTAGTTTGCCCAGATGATATAATGTCATTTTCTATATGACTTTCTAAGTACCTAAGAAACTCATTAAGTTTGCTTCATTCCTGCTCACCACGAGTTATTTTCTGTGGGGTAGTCACGGATCCAGCTTTACCTGAGCAGAAATCCCCAAAGGGAAGGTGAACTCTTCAGGCCACTGGTGGCTGTTTACTTATCTCTCACCCCAAACACACCTTGTGCCTGTGGCCGTCTTAGAAATTGTAAAAAGCTAGGAGACAAAGGCTAGAACACATACATTTAACTGCAAAATAGACTAATTGGTCTTTTCCTGAGGAAAATGGAACCTAGACTTTGGGTTGTTTCTGAAACCACTTGTATTTAATTCTGGGCCAAGGAAAATGTTTTAAGCACAGCCGTCTTGAAAGAGAAAAGAGGTAGGGTTTCTACTCATTCTTGGCCTCATAGACTTCTTTGTTCCTCGTTCTGCCAGTACAGTAGGGAGACACCACAATACAGCCACCTAAGGAGTTTCCTATCCCTTTGGGAACCTTCATTTGGGTAAAGCTGGAGCCTTGGTGACCTAAGAAAAGAATTCCATAATGAACCATAACGAAGCAGAGTTAATGAGTTTATTAAATATTTAGATGGAAGGTCACATAGCAAAAGACATTAAACAATCTAGGCAAACCATAAATAATTGGATTTTTCTTTATGAGTTTCTGATTAGTCACTAAGCCAAGCACTGATAGTTAAGTCATATTAATGGCCAGATTTGTATGTAGATTCCTGAAGCTTGGGACTGAACTGGCCCTGTTCTCAGTCTTCCACTTCTCAGGCCTTCTTATTAGCTCTTTGGCACTCCCTTGAATTGCTCTGCAGAGTTCCTTAGAACAACTTCTCCTTTTTTGGTAAAGGTACAAAAAGTTGGCTTCTGTCACTTCCCTCCAAAGAACCTTACCTAATATGGACAAAGAGATATTAATATCTTACACCATGGTGCCACAGCTGCTGAGTAACTGACCAGGAGGGTTTTAAAGTATTAATGGACACATAATAACTGTATGTATTTGTGGGATACTATGTGATATTTAAATATACACATGTAATAATTACTTCAAGAAAATTAAGATTTGCCTCCTCAAATATTTATCATTTCTTTGCATTGGGAATATTTGAGATGTTCTTTCCCAGCTATTTTGAAGGACTGTGCTATGGAACCCCAGAGAGAACTCCTTCTAATTAACTTTATGTTGGTTTTCGTTATCCAACTTCCCCCTAGTGACTATGAAATCAACCCTCTTGGCTTCCACAAATGAGTGAGAATGTGGAGTGTTTGTCTTTCTGTACATAGTTATTTCATTGAATTGGAGCTTTGAACCTAGGTCTGTCTGGCTCCAAAGATAATGCCCTAGTCTTATTTCTATATGAGCTGGTTAGGCTGAAGCTGTAAGTAGAGGTTTTTTGACATACTCAATCTGATAGAACTCTCCTAGAGAACTGTCTCAACTTATATTTTTACTATCTTTTTTCTATAAGTCCAATGCAGTTCAAGTTCAGAAAGAATTAAGGTACCTTCAAAAACTAATTTAGGTTGCTTACAGGATGGAATGAAGGAACTAGAGAAGAAATAGTCTTTTTTGTTTTTAGTCTGGTAAGGTCTGTTTCTCCCTGTTTGTGGTTCCTCAAAGGGGACTCACATTGAAGGTTTGGTCATTAGTAGGCACTACTTGTGGAAAGTGATTGGTTCAAAAAGTTATGATCTCATCAATTGATTGATTTACTGATGGACTAATAATTGAATGGGCTGTTGGGAAATGGTAGAAAGTGGAAGGAGTGACCTAATTGAGAAAGTGAATCACTAGGAACATGTCTTTGAAGGATATATCGTGTGCTTGGCCCTTCATCCTAGTACCTCATTCACAGTGGTACTAGGTGAACAGCTCTGCTCCATTGCCCCTCCTGCTCCCCTGCCATGATGCTCTGCCTCCCAGAGTTCCATAGTGATGGAGCCAATGGACCATGGATTATACAGTCTCTGAAGCCCAAATCAACTTTACCTTGTCTGAACTTTTTATCTGATGATTTTGTCTTAGGAACGGAAAACTAAAACAATTTCTCTTTAAATCTTAGACTCACTTACTTCAGAAGGACTTTAAATGGGTGACAGTTATCAGCTTTGCTATCTGCTGGGTCAGACTCACTCACAATTAGATGTGTCTCTGGGGAAAATTAATTAAATATGTCCTGATGGTCTCTTCTCCCTGTCCAACTCCCTCCCCAACTCCCAGTAGACCAGCAAGGTCCCTGAATAGTCACTTGTTCCTTGACTCCAAAACTCACCAAATACATTCAGGGTTATCGTGTACTCTTTCTCAGTTTCACTGAACACTCTCATGTAGTAGAGACCTTTGTCTTCTTTCCGAACATTAGAGATATGAAGTTCACCACTTGTATGGTCAAGTTTGACCCTGCCCTTAAATACAGAATCGTAGATAGTTTCTGTATCATTATATTCATATTCTATAATCTTCTGTTTGGTAGTGTGAAGCCAGGTGAGACGTGTGTAGGATCCAAGATCTTTCTTGAGGACGTTCAGGGTTATGTTGCTGCCAGTTGGAGCATTTTTCTCTAGTGGTGAATCATCTGCCAATGAAAGTCAGAGTGAGACCCATCCTGGAGAAAGCAGTGCTGTCCAACGGCCCAGCTTTTGCTTGAGCTGGTAGAAAAGGAAGAAGTTAGAAACTGAGAAACAGGGGTAGGGCAGGGTGGAGCAGAATATATTGATTATAATCCCAAATTTTTGCTGTCATACTAAAAGACAAAGGACACTAAGCTGATCGATCCTGTTACTTTCTTGTTCATAGGCCCAGCCCCCAGAGTTTTAAATAAATTGTTTCCAAGTCATCTCCCTCTGTGGGCCTGTTTCCTATTTATTCAGTTGTATTCAATAAGCATATTATATAATTACACTCTAACAGAATTAATACACAAGTGTAAGCTGAACACAAACACAAATCAGCCTGACCTGAGGGCGTAGCTTAGTTGGTAGAGTGCTTTTCTGTAATCCTAGCCATCAGGAGATACAGGCAAGAGGATCACAAGGTCAAGGTCCTCTTGTCTTCATAGTAAACTTGAGGCCAGCTTGGGATACAAAAGACTCTGTCTTAAAAAAAAGTTAACATATAATATCTTTTTACTACAGTAAAGACAAGGACAAGGTGGTGTGGGAATAAGCCACGATATGGAATATAGAATAGGGGATGGGGGTGTGGTGGTATTCTAATTGTACTGAAATGTGATTTTGATTGTATGTTAATAAATAAAATTCCCCAGGGGTCAGAGCTATTAGAGCCATAGAAAGAGCATGACAGTGGTGGCACATGCCTTTAATACCATAGATCTCTGTGTGTTCAGGGATACAGCCAGCATTGGAGACATACACCTTTAAGACCTAGAGGGCTGTACATACAGACAGTGATGAGGCAGTCACATGTTTGGGTTTACAACCAATGAGAAGGCAGAACAAAAATACTATGAAAAGACCTACACACAGGAAGTAGCTCTCTTTCGGGGAAGCTAGGACCACCACAGGAGGAAGGGTGAGATTTTAGCTCTGAGCTCTGACCTCTCGGCTTTCTCTTTTACATTGGTTCTGTGTTTCTTATTTAATAAGATGGTTGGTTACATCTACATGGGGGAAAGCTGGGAAAAGCTCTTTGAAGCATTGGCCACTAATGTGAGTTAGAAGATGTTTAAAAGAGAATGCTCATTGAGAATCATGTATTAGGTGCTATATGAGGAGGTGGGAATATGTCGGTGAGTTAAACATAAGAGGCCCTTGAGCTAACAATAAGAAATAAATATTCCTGCCAGAGAAGCAGGTAGGCTGACTGAAGATCTTCATCTCTCCTTCTACTCTTCCAGATTTAATCCCCCAGCCTCATCTCTAGATCTGCTTCCCTCATTTTGTGGATACCCTCAGCCCTGCCAGCCCATACTCTAAGTGTCAGCTCCAATACCCATAAAAACATTTTAGCTGGAACCCTCAGTGGCCACACCTATCAGGGCACCAGAAGAATTTCCTACAAGGCAACAGCCACCACACTATCCTAAAATCCAGAGAAGAAAAGAAACCAAGGAACGAAATAGCCACCAACAAAGACAAGGCCAGATACCAACACCTAGAGCTACAATCTTCCAAATCTCAGATGCCTAGATACCATTTTAAAAACACAACTGATGATAAGCATGACAATATGGCTCCAGTAGAGCCCAGCAACCCTCTGACAGCAGACACTGTGGCACAAGGAAAAGTCCTTTAGCAGCCTTTATGAATGTGGTAAAATTCCTTAAAGAGGAAATGAACAAGTCCCTTGAAGAAATCTACATAAACACAAATGAAGAGTGGAAGAAAATGAATCAAACCATTTAAGACCTGAAAGTAGAAATAGAATCAAGCCAAACTGTAGGAAATCAGGAAATGAAACATTTAGGAACTCGAACAGGAACCACAGAGGCAAACTTCACCAGTGGACAATTAGAGACAGAGAGAATCTCAGATATCAAAGACATAAGTGGATACACCATTCAAAGAAAATATTAAATCTAAAATCTCCTTGTACAAAACAACCAAGAAATCTGGAACACTATGAAAAGACCATTTCTAGGAATAATAGGAGTAGAGGTGGGAGAAGAAACATAGGTCAAAGGCCTATGAAATATTTTTATATTTCAGAAAAATATTTTCAATGAAATCATAGAGGAAAATTTCCCTAACCTAAAGAAAGAAATGCCTATCAAAGTATAAGAAGTACACTGAATACCAAATAGACTGGACCAGAAAAGAAAGCCCCACCCCCTGCACATGATAATCAAAATGCTAAATGTACAGAACAAAAAAAGAATATTAAAATCTGCAAGGGGCAAAAGGCCAAGTAAATTGTAAAGGCAGACATATTAGAATTACACCTGACTACTCAATGGAGACTTTATAAGATAGAAGAGTCTGGACAGATGAGTTGCAGACTCTAAGAGACCACATATGCCATTCCTGACTAGTACACCCAGCAAAACTTTCAATTACTATACACACATACATATATATATATATATATATATATATATATATATATATATACACATACATGTATATTTGTATGTGTGTATATATATGTACACTATAAGATAGTATATGTGTGTGTATATATATATATATATACATATATATATACTATAAGATACTCCATGATAAAACCATTTTAGTTGGAACCTCTAAGAAAACACAGGGAATAAATAATCCCAGATAAACAAAGTCAAAAGAAGGGAACCCACACCCACCCACCCACACCACCACCACCACGACTACCACCACCACCACCAACAACAGCAATAACAACAAAATAATGGGAACCAACAAACATTGCTCATTGACATCTCTCAATATCAATGGTCTCAATTCTCCAATTAAAAAAAAACCCACAAATTAAGAGAAAGGGTACAAAAAAACAAAACAAAACAAAAAACCAGGATCCATCCTTCTGCTGCATCCAACAAACACACTTTAATATCAAGGCTAGGCATCAAATCAAGTTAAAGAGTCGGAGACAGATATTTCAAGCAAATAGACTAAAGGAGCAAGCTGGTATTGCCATTTTGAAATCTAATAAAATAGATTAAACCCCAAACTTATCAGAAAAGATAGGGAAGGACACTACATACTCATCAAAGGACAGCCACCAAAAGGACATCGCAATTCTTAACATCTATGCCCCAATCACAAGGGTACCCACATTTTTAAAAGAAACATTACTATAGTTTAAATCACATACTGACTCTTATGCACTGATAGTGGGAGACTTCAATACCTCACTCTCACCAATAGACAGGTCATCCAGACAAAAACTAAACAGAAAATGTTGGAGCTAATTGATGTATAAACCAAATGGACCTAACAGATATTTACAGAACATTTCAACCAAGCACAAAAGAATATACCTTCTTCTCTGCACCTCATGGAGCTTTCTCCCAAATTGACCACATACTCAGACACAAAACAAGCCTCAAAGATAGAAAAAAATTGAAATAACTCCTTGCGTCCTCTCTGACTACCATGGATTAAAGCTGGATATCAACAAAAAACAGAAACAGCAGAAAGCTTACAAACACATGGAACTGAACAACTCACAACTGAATAAAAAATAGACCAAGACAGAAATTAAGAAAGAAATTAAAGAATTTCTATAATTGAATGAAAATGAATACACAGCACACCCAAACTTATGGAATACAATTAGAGCAGTTCTAAGAGGCAAGTCTGTAGCACTAAGGGCCTACATGAAAAATTTGGAGCAATCTCATACTAGTAATGTAACAGAACACCTGAAAACTTTAGAGCAAAAATAAGTAACCACACCAAAGAAGAGCAAAGGGTAAGAAATAATCAAACTCAGGGCTGAAATTAATAAAATAGAAACAAAGAGAACAATACAAAGAATCAATGAAATAAGAAGTTGCTACTTTGAGAAAATCAACAAACCCTTATCTAAATTAACCAACAGGCAGAGAGTGAATGTCCAGATTAACCATATCAGAAACAAAAAGGGGGGACATAACAACAGACATTGAGGAATCCATAGAATCATAAGAATATACTTTAAAAAACCTGTACTCCCACCAAATTGGAAAATCTAAAATAAACAGATAATTTTTTGATACATCCCACTCAACAAAGCTAATCAAAATAAACAATTTAAACAGACCTAGTGAAATAGAAGCAGTTGTTAAAAGTCTCTCAATCAAAAAAGGCCATGGCCAGATAGTTTTAGCTCAGAATTCCATCAGACTTTCAAAAAAGAGTGAATGCCATTACTTTTCAAATTATTCCACAAAATAAAAACAGAAGGAACATTGCCCAATTCATTTATATGAGGTCACAGTTACTCTGATACTCAAACCATATAAAGACTCAACAAAGAAAGGGAATATTGACTAGTTTCCCTTATGAACATAGATGCAAAAATACTTGCAAACTGAATCCAAGAAACATCAAAAATATCATTGACCACGATCAATTGGGCTGCAGCCCAGAGATTCAGGGATAGTCAATATACATATATAACTAAATACAATCTACCACATGAATAAATTGAAAGAAAAACCAAATTATCATCTCATTAGATACAGAAAGGCCTTTGACAAAATTCAATAGCTCTTTATGATAAAAGTCCTGGAGAGATTAGGGAAACAAGGGGCATACCTCAACATAGTAAAGGCAGTTTACAAGCCTATAGCCAGCATCAAATTAAACATAGAGAAACTCAAAGCATTTCCATTAAAATCAGGAACAAGACAAGGTTGTCTGTTTTCTTGATACCTATTCAATATAGTGGTTGAAGTCTTAGCCAGAGCAATAAGACAATTGAAGGAGATCAAGGGGATATAAACTGGAAAGGAAGAAGTCCAAGTATCTTTATTTGCAGATGATATGACAGTATAAAAAAGTGACCATAAAAATTGCCCCTGGGAACTCATACAGCTGATAAACACTTTCAGCAAAGTAGCTGGATACAAAATTAACTCACAAAAATCAGTAGCCCTCTGGGGTGGTTTGAAAGAAAGTGGCCCCCAAAGGAAGTGGTACTCTT